AAGTTTTGTTTTTGGAAAAAATTTGAATTTAAAACTTTCGGTTTAGAGGGGCCCCCCCCCCCCCCCCCTTTTTTTTCTTTTGTTAATTTTGAAAAAGAATTGCAACACAAGGATTTCTCAGATGTCACTCTGAGTGAGTCGACATAACGGTTTTCTTTCCCTTCCTTTTAGGAGAATGTTAAATTTATCGATCGACATCAAAAGACTTACAAAAGAATCTTAATAATATTGTAATGTGTCCTGAAGCCACTATTCCTTGTATTCCAATTCAAACTAGTAAATATATAATGTAGCATTGTGGGGATAAAATTGCAATAAAGTATGTTTTAGATTCACTTAAGTTTCAAAATATATAGAGGTTTCTTTCCTCTATTCCTTGAGGAGTAGGCTAGATCCATCATAATTATTGCTCCTTTGCCCGGGCATTACTTGATCGAGTTATGGAAACAATTTATCTGCATATGGAGATAACATTGCAGGCAGCTTACCTTCCACAGACCATGCAATCCTGGAAGCCTCATGCATTGGGAAAGCTTTATTAAAGATTCCTTTTTATAAAAAAAGGAATCTTTAATAAAGCTTTAAAAAAAATAAAAATAAATAAATAAACCTTTTTATAAGTATATTTTAAACATTATTTAGGGTTGGAAATCTGGAGTTTTAGAAGGTGATACCATAACTGTGGCTTGCAGGTATTGGGAAACATTGTTGCACCAAGCCAAAAATCAGCTTGGAATAACAACAATTCCAAAACCTGGATAGTCTTTTCTGATGTGAAAGGACTTATTGTCAATGGAAATGGACAGATTGATGGCCAAGGGTCTGTTTGGTGGAAATCATGCAAAGTTTTGGTAAGATTGGTTGTTACATTGCTTGTTCTTCAGGTTCTTTGTAAATCCTTATTTCTTCCTCTGAATTTATTCAAAAATTTTATTCACTTTTTTTGAATCTTCAGGGAAAGAATTGCCAAAGACCCAGTGTAAGTACAGGAGTTTCTTTTCAGTACCTTCTTGGAAAAAAAAATAGATTAATAGAGTCCTTCTCCTTTTCCTAATAATTCCAGCTTCTTAATCACAGTTTTTTTCTGTCATTCCATTTTTGGGTTTAGGCTTTGTCATTCCAGAATTGTAACAACCTTGTACTCCAAGGATTGAAACATACTGACAGCCAGAAAAACCATATATCTATATCAAATTGTCACGATGTAACTGTTTCCGGCCTCCAAATAACTGCCCCGGAAAAAAGCCCTAACACAGATGGCATTGACATCAGCCACTCAACCAATGTTAGAATCCAGGATTGTGTAATTGGAACAGGTATGTTTGCCCTTTTGTTCCTCTTTTACAATCATGTAGGTCCTCAGTTGCAATGTATTTGATCAGTTCTTGTTTATATTGTCTTAGGTGATGATTGCATTGCCATTAATGATGGCTGCTCCTACATCAACATTTCCAGCGTAAATTGCGGCCCAGGGCATGGTATAAGGTTTGTTATTACATGTTTGAAGCTTATTATAAATCTTTCCTCTTATGTGCATGTTCATTGTCATAACATTCTCCAAACTCTGTAAGTTTGGCTCTGTCCATATCTCACAATAATGAGACCATTGTATATTAGGCTGTGTTGTCCTTTTTAGTGTGCATATTCAGTGACATTTTTTGACCTTTTGGCGCATGACATCTGACAGAATAAAACTTAAGTGCTTCCGCTTATTGCTAACATTCTACATTCAAATCATGAACTCAAAATTAAGCTCCATTCACCTTTTCCTACCTTGTGTTTTTCTCTTATATCCCCCTATCCTAAATCTTTATATGTGCAAAACCAAAATGGATGTAACTGAAAAGAAAGCATTTCTTGTAGTATTGGAAGCCTAGGACAGCATGGAGCAAGAAATGCAGTTGAAGAAGTGCATATAAAGAACTGTACCTTCAAAGGAACAGAAAATGGAGCAAGAATCAAAACATGGCAGGTAATGAGGCTTCAGTATAGTCATGGACTAAGGGAAGAAACACGAATTTATTTGACTTTTTTGACTTCTTGTTATCTAGGGTGGCTCTGGATATGCTCGGAGAATCACATTCGAGAAAATTATTCTCATTGCAGCTAATAATCCCATAATCATTGATCAGTTCTACTGTGATCATGGGCATTGTTCTAATCAAGTAAGGAGGATCATGATTCTTAGTTTTCTGATTATTTTTTTTACGAAGAAATTAATTAATTTTAAAATTATACATGAATTGTGCATATTTCATGTACATTAATTACTAACAAATTAATGTCTTGGTTTTGCAAAATGTTGAAGACATCTGCAGTTGAAGTAAGTGATGTTTCGTATACAAATTTTCAAGGGACGTCCAGCAGCGAACAGGCTATCAAATTTAAATGCAGTAAAAGCATAGGTTGCACCAACATTGCACTGAATGCTATCAACATAACATCAGCTGATCCAAAGAAGAAGACCACCTCCTACTGCATCAATGCTCATGGAAGATCTAGTGGTTCGGTTCCTAATGTAGATTGCTTGTCGCAATAGCTCCACAGATTTGTTATTGTAATTGTTAACTCAGCAGCGCGAATTGATAATTTTACATAGCTATTATAGTCATTGCCGGAATACATTTTCCATTGTGACAATGTTCATCACAATATACACATATGGTACGGGGCTGATACAATGTCAATTCAAATCCATATAAAGTCAAGCAAGTGGAGCATTTTATCAGTAAGTTTTTAAAAAAAAAAGTCACTGAATTAAATGTATGGAAAATCAAGCAACATCTGATTAGACAGTTCACATTATCGACTCTCTCTTTGTTACTAGTCACAAAAGATCATCTCTCCAAGAATATCTAACTTCCAGAAAGTAGCCCTGACTTAATGTGTTTAGGCCATGACTATTGTTTCAGCCTTGTAAATTTCAGTCTTGAATATGGCTTTTCAGTAAAGTGCAATGTGACTTCCATATGCCATTTGTGTGGTTTCAGTCCTGTAATACCTGCAGATTGAAGCTTCCTCCATCATGTGATCTACACAAGCAATTGAGCTCCTTTAGATTAAGTAAGAAGGGCACTTATTTGGCAAGTTGGTTCATGTTTTTCCCTTTCATCGGATAGAAAGCAGAAAAAACAAGGAGAGTTATTTCTTTTATGGAAAAAATCTGCCAGGTAATACTTGTACATTGCAATGAAAGAGAAACTTTTTCTTTGTAGGACTACACAATATAATTCAACGCATATGAAAGGACTGGTTTAAAAGTTAAATGATGGCAAGAATATGTGGGGTGACAAGTTAAATTTGATTCATGCAAAGGGTACTTGGTGTACAGGGAGGGACTAGGGAGGAAGTGGATATGCTAGGAAGATCTCATTTGAGAAGATTAATTTTGTAGCACTAGTAGCTGCTAATCCCACTATACTTGATCAGTTTTACTGTCCAACTGCAAAAAAAAGTTTAAGTATGCATATGGATGGTACTCATTCAACACATTCACTTGCTGACTGACTGACTACTTTTTTTCTTTCACTTCCCTTCTATTTTATCGAATTTTTTGGGTTCGAAATGTCAAAGATATCAGCAATTAAGCTGAGTGACATATCCTACTCTGTAATTATGGGGACATCAATCATGGATGAGGCGATAAATCTGAGTTGCAGCCAGAGTGTGGGATGCACCGACATTGTTCTTGGTCATGTGGACATAGCATCAACAACTCCAGGGAAAGGGAATTATGTCGGCTGCTTCAATGCTCATGGAAGATCTAGCCATACTAGTCCTGCTATAAAATGTCTATTGCCATAGCCATTCATTGTTTGGTCATTGTTGTCGTCGTGGCGGTGGTTGTGCAAATTATTGTGGTGTTAATGTCGTTGTTCTTGTCAAACTCTCTTCTTGCAAGGTTAAGTTACTATTTTGATTGGTAAAATGTATTTTATGAAAGGAAAGAAAGAAACAAATACGGAACACATTCCTTACATCTGCCGAATGAACACAAATACACATCAACACAAAACATATTAACAGAGAACCCAAAGGATGGAGAGCCATCTGAAACTCAAACTCATTAGATTGCTCTTTTTTTTTTCAACAATCTCCTTATACATCGTAAGTTTCTTACAACTCTATGCAAGACGGAAACTACCTTACATGAACAACAATGTGCGGAATGTTCTTCAGGAAATGCAAACTTTGGATAGTTATTTTAATTCTCCTCTGGCTAGCCACTCTGCAACAGGTCATGTCGACGATTTTTTCCAATGACAGAATTTACATCCACATACTCATTTGAGTGCCATCTTGTATTCCTCTCACTCCACAGCTGATACATTTGTAACATGGAGAGTCAACTTCTTGATCTATGAGCTAAGTTTTTTGCGGTTCATCTCTTTAACAATCCATTCAATATTTTCTACCCAAGAATCAGTTTGGTACTGAGCTCCAGCCTTGTCAATAACATTGCTCCAGATTCTAATATAATATCACAATCACTGATAATTACCTGATCACGCAGTGGGGTATGTGAGATGTCTTGGGGTCATTTGTCTGCGGACTGAAAGGAGTAATTTTGGCCTTTCTAAACAATCGCTTCTCGTTCAGGGGCCATTTTAACGCAATGCTATTAGCAGCAAGAAAGCTCGAGAGTTTATTATCACCCATATTATGAAGTGCCAAAAATGTGGCTCATAGTGGTATTTGTAACAAGAAGGTAGCAATGGTGGTATGGTGTGAGGTAGTCGAGACGGAGATTTTTATCCGGTTTCTGCAAATGTTTTTAAGAGGTAAAATATTTAAATTAACAGGCAGATTGAGAGCAATCTAGAAAATGTGGTATTAACAAGTATTAATAATCCAAAATCCATATAAAAGAAGCATAAATGGAAAAAATTATAAAGATGGTTAATGGGAAACAAGTTCATTGTGAGAATACGCCAATTTACCTATGCATTAAATTTCTGCATTCAAAATCAGTCTGAACTCTTGAAGTATCTGATTCTTTGGGGCACTAAGAGTAAAACCTTTGGAGATGAAATTAACTCAATTTTCTTCTTTCTTCTACTGGAATAATTTCACTCTCACATCCTCTATGAGGCCACTCTTGATATATATACCAATATGTCAGTCCCTTAATCACTGCCTCTTTGCAGTTCTTTGGTTTCTCTTATAATTGATTCACAGAATGGTATGTAGGGATGATCTTTTTTTTTTTTTTTTGTTAAGAAAAGCTTCTAATTTAGATGTACACTACTATCATAAACTATTCAAGACAAAAGGAAATTATTCTNTCATGCAGATAGAAAATCAACAGATATTTTAACATTGCATTACGCATCATTATTAATACAATTTACTAATACTAAGACTCATGGCACACACCATGCGTTTGCAATACCTATTGAAAACTTAATTGTTCCCAATTTTGGTTCAGGCAAGATATTTCTGTAATAGTACACAAAACATCAGGGTTTTGCAGCGATTACTTAATATCAGCAGCTTTCTAGTCCAGAGGATAAACACACAATTTAGGTGTTTCTTGTCATTCCTAAAATACAGGAGGCAGTTTGTGTGTGTGTGTGTGTGTGTGTTTTGAAGATAAGGTACTTTCGTTTTTGAGATTTAAATTTTGAGGAATTATGAGGCAGGTTTGGGGAAACATAGTTGCACCTGAGGGAAAATCAGCATGGAAAGGTAGCAACACAACTCATTGGCTTTCCTTCAAGCAGATCAAGGGGCTATTTATCAATGGACATGGACAAGGACAAATTGATGGACGAGGTTCTTCATGGTGGAGGAATGTGAGTTAAAAATTTTCTGCAATAGCAATTATGTTCTTGCACTCACTTTCTTTATTTTCCCTCTATTCTTGTAATTATTAATTAGATTCCTATGCATGCTAATTCTCTTTTTCAGGGAGAAAATGAGAATGGACCTACGGTAAGTCCAAGCATTCCAGTTTTTTCTCTATTTATTTCAAATGGGCTTTTGTTGTTTTCTATTTTTTTGGAATGATTTTAACCCCGCAGAAAGATCTTATAAATTACTATCTCGAAGTTCCCAAGTTTGACCAATTTCATATGAGTGTTCTAGTCGTATGAATTTACTTACAAAAACATATTTTGGGACGGCTAGGCATTGCACTTCTATGAGTGTGACAACCTTCAANACTTAATTGTTCCCAATTTTGGTTCAGGCAAGATATTTCTGTAATAGTACACAAAACATCAGGGTTTTGCAGCGATTACTTAATATCAGAAGCTTTCTAGTCCAGAGGATAAACACACAATTTAGGTGTTTCTTGTCATTCCTAAAATACAGGAGGCAGTTTGTGTGTGTGTGTGTGTGTGTGTTTTGAAGATAAGGTACTTTCGTTTTTGAGATTTAAATTTTGAGGAATTATGAGGCAGGTTTGGGGAAACATAGTTGCACCTGAGGGAAAATCAGCATGGAAAGGTAGCAACACAACTCATTGGCTTTCCTTCAAGCAGATCAAGGGGCTATTTATCAATGGACATGGACAAGGACAAATTGATGGACGAGGTTCTTCATGGTGGAGGAATGTGAGTTAAAAATTTTCTGCAATAGCAATTATGTTCTTGCACTCACTTTCTTTATTTTCCCTCTATTCTTGTAATTATTAATTAGATTCCTATGCATGCTAATTCTCTTTTTCAGGGAGAAAATGAGAATGGACCTACTGTAAGTCCAAGCATTCCAGTTTTTTCTCTATTTATTTCAAATGGGCTTTTGTTGTTTTCTATTTTTTTGGAATGATTTTAACCCCGCAGAAAGATCTTATAAACTACTATCTCGAAGTTCCCAAGTTTGACCAATTTCATATGAGTGTTCTAGTTGTATGAATTTACTTACAAAAAACATATTTTGGGACGGCTAGGCATTGCACTTCTATGAGTGTGACAACCTTCAAGTTGATGGAATGAAACATATCAATAGCCAAAAGAACCATATTTCTATAGCTGGCTGCAGAGGCGCAACCATTTCCAACCTCCACATTAGTGCCCCTCAGACAAGCCCCAACACTGATGGAATTGACATCAGTACTTCAAGCAACGTCCAAGTTCATGACTGCAACATAGCCACTGGTACTAGTAGATTTATTCTCTCTCTCTCACACACACACTCACGTTTACAGACATACACAACTACCCTTTTAATCAATATTGATGCATTTCCTGATCTTTTGATGCAATATGTATAGGGGATGATTGTATTGCTATAAACGGGGGATCTTCTTATGTTAACATAACCAATATAGCATGCGGTCCGGGCCATGGTATAAGGTTTGTCTTAAGACAATTACATGTTCTACCTTGAAAGCATGGTTTAAGTTGCAGGACTTATTTATTTCGATAGCATGTTGCAAGACATTGAAGTTAATCAAACNACTATAAACGGGGGATCTTCTTATGTTAACATAACCAATATAGCATGTGGTCCGGGTCATGGTATAAGGTTTGTCTTAAGACAATTACATGTTCTACCTTGAAAGCATGGTTTAAGTTGCAGGACTTATTTATTTCGATAGCATGTTGCAAGACATTGAAGTTAATCAAACCCTCCATTCTTGAGGCTGTGAGGTGCAGAGAGGGTACATTGAAAATATGTTCAGTGTTCCCCAAGTATAAACTCTTGTGTGATTTTTTTCAGATGTGGAACTGCTTCCTCAACTCAAAATCTGGCTGAGGCTCGAGGATTTAGCTCATGAAGAGAAAAATTGAAAACCTTAACGGTTGCTGCATCATAATTTATAAACAACTATTGATATATGCAGCACAAAGTAGCTTTGGTCTTTTTACACATTCTCATGTTGCCAAAATTTTGCACTCATTTTCTTTTTTCTTTCATTAATTTAGAGTTGAATTCACAACCCACTGCCATTTTAGCATTTCATTTGTGGAGCATATTGGATTGGGTTCCTNCTGCTGCATCATAATTTATAAACAACTATTGATATATGCAGCTCAAAGTAGCTGTGGTCTTTTTACACATTCTCATGTTGCCAAGATTTTGCACTCATTTTCTTTTTTCTTTCATTAATTTAGAGTTGAATTCACAACCCACTGCCATTTTAGCATTTCATTTGTGGAGCATATTGGATTGGGTTCCTCAACTTTGGCTTTCANCTACTATCTCGAAGTTCCCAAGTTTGACCAATTTCATATGAGTGTTCTAGTTGTATGAATTTACTTACAAAAAACATATTTTGGGACGGCTAGGCATTGCACTTCTATGAGTGTGACAACCTTCAAGTTGATGGAATGAAACATATCAATAGCCAAAAGAACCATATTTCTATAGCTGGCTGCAGAGGCGCAACCATTTCCAACCTCCACATTAGTGCCCCTCAGACAAGCCCCAACACTGATGGAATTGACATCAGTACTTCAAGCAACGTCCAAGTTCATGACTGCAACATAGCCACTGGTACTAGTAGATTTATTCTCTCTCTCTCACACACACACTCACGTTTACAGACATACACAACTACCCTTTTAATCAATATTGATGCATTTCCTGATCTTTTGATGCAATATGTATAGGGGATGATTGTATTACTATAAACGGGGGATCTTCTTATGTTAACATAACCAATATAGCATGCGGTCCGGGCCATGGTATAAGGTTTGTCTTAAGACAATTACATGTTCTACCTTGAAAGCATGGTTTAAGTTGCAGGACTTATTTATTTCGATAGCATGTTGCAAGACATTGAAGTTAATCAAACCCTCCATTCTTGAGGCTGTGAGGTGCAGAGAGGGTACATTGAAAATATGTTCAGTGTTCCCCAAGTATAAACTCTTGTGTGAATTTTTTCAGATGTGGAACTGCTTCCTCAACTCAAAATCTGGCTGAGGCTCGAGGATTTAGCTCATGAAGAGAAAAATTGAAAACCTTAACGGCTGCTGCATCATAATTTATAAACAACTATTGATATATGCAGCTCAAAGTAGCTGTGGTCTTTTTACACATTCTCATGTTGCCAAGATTTTGCACTCATTTTCTTTTTTCTTTCATTAATTTAGAGTTGAATTCACAACCCACTGCCATTTTAGCATTTCATTTGTGGAGCATATTGGATTGGGTTCCTCAACTTTGGCTTTCATTTCTTTTTATCTGCTTGCAGCATTGGAAGCTTAGGAAACAGTGGAAAGAATGATAAAGTGGAAGAGATACATGTACAGAATTGTAATTTCACTGGAACTACGAATGGAGTAAGGATCAAGACATGGCAGGTAATAAACTAAACTATGTGATTTCACATATTAACATGAAGGACTCAGAGGCANTCTTTTTATCTGCTTGCAGCATTGGAAGCTTAGGAAAAAGTGGAAAGAATGATAAAGTGGAAGAGATACATGTACAGAATTGTAATTTCACTGGAACTACGAATGGAGCAAGGATCAAGACATGGCAGGTAATAAACTAAACTATGTGATTTCACATATTAACATGAAGGACTCAGAGGCAATTGCAAATTTGTTGATTCATCTTTAGGGGGGGGTCTGGATATGCCAGAAGGATCACCTTCACAGAAATTAGATTCACGGCGACTGGTAACCCTATCGTGATTGACCAGTATTACTGCCCTCATGGTTATTGCAGGAACCAGGTAAGAAGAATGAATCTCACTCAACTTCGAAACTTTTGACAGATTATCATTTGGCTTTCTCTTTGAAGTTCTAGGCTCCTACCTCCAAGCAATTCCAAAGATTTTATTCTATTTACAGATTTCAGAAATTCCATTAGATACCTTCAACTATAGTATACTTTGCAGTGACAAATTCATTGACCAATATTATTACGCATTTTATCTCCATTGCTGCCATTGTAGTTCTTATCTATCTAGTTTGTTTGTCTACTTGAGACATCTGCAGTAAAAGTTAGCGACATCTCCTACACCGGAGTGCAAGGAACATCCATCAACAGTGATGCAATCAATTTTAGCTGCAGTCAAAGCGTTCCTTGCATCAACATTTCACTAGATCATGTCAATATAACATCAGCAGATTCATCTCATGCAACTTATGCGCGCTGCATAAATGCCCATGGAAGGTCTTATGCAACCAACCCGGTTGTAAATTGCCTATTGAAGTAGATTTAAATTTTTTCAGTGTCATTTCATTGGACAAAGTGTACGAATTCATGTGTTCCTAAGTTATGCACAGCATGCAACATATATTGACGGAATCATGAGATCCTTTGAACTTGTATGCACGACATTATCGAATTAAAATAAATCCTCTCAATTTGTCCTTTAATATCAATTGTTTCATACTCTTCGGCATAGTCGTCAAATCGTAATTCGTATCGTGAATCGGAATCTTAAATTTGAAAATCGTGAATTGTAAAAACCAAAATAGTGACACCCAATATGGATTGAGTTACAAACATAAATGAAAAAAGAACAAATAAGAAAATTGATTGATAAAAAACATACATGCCAACATTTTGAAACAAAAAATTAAAACCTAACGAACTACCAATGAAATAATTGATCGTATAAGCGTTAGCCGTGACATTTAACTTTAGACAACGCAAGACGAGCTTTAGACGACATTAGAGAGAGAACGAACAAAGATGTTAAGTTTTTTTATAGGGCGTGAGTTCCTCTGTAAACAAAAAGATATCGTTTTAATGTTTAGCGGATAAAACGATGTCGTTTTGTCAAAAAATTGAGTTTTAAAAAAAAGTGATTGAATCGTGCGATTCATGCAATACAAATTGAATCGTACGATTCATGCAATACGAATTGAATCGTACGATTTAGGTGCGATTCAACTCTAAAACGATTCTTATATAAGATATAAATCGTTTTGTACCTATATCGAACCAAATCGTAAGAATCGAATCGCGAATTGTCCGATTTTGATAACTACGCTCTTCGGTTGTAAACTTGTAATAGAGAGTATTGTAAACTTGTAATACCCAAAAGTGTGCTTGCAAAGCTCATTTTTCCGAGCTACGCCATATGAGGCGTTAAAATTAATTGAGATAAGCGATACTCAAAACATAGGACTGAGTGAAGATTACTTCTTACTAGCATTTCGGGTTCCTGAGAAGTTTGCAACAAAATAACTGAAAAATGGAAAACATGCACAGCTGATAGGTGAGTGGGAAGTGATACAATGAAACGAAAAAATATGTTCAATTGCTAAATAGAAGGCATCAAATTTCAAAGTTACTGACCCTTTCCTTTTGTAATCTCCACAACAAAACAAGAATATATTTGTATTCTTAGCTTCTAAAATAACCCACTAGTAATCATAATGCATATGCTTGCTAAAGTTGAATAAACATTTTTACTTACAAAATCGAAATTCTTCTTTTCCGATGGTTCTGATATGAAGATCAAAAGAGAACAGGAATGAATAATACTATATCTCACATGAATCCGAGCGACCAAAAATAGTGTAACGATTGTTTGCAACATTGTCATATGCATAATCCCGAATGAAACTGCAAACAGAAGTATAAAGATTAATGTAACCACAAGTGGATCACCAATTGCTTCTGTTAGTTCAAGACCCAATAACAGGATACTCACAGAGGAACAAACTGTAAAAAGAATGCTAGCTGAGGGAAGGGTAAGTCAATGTACTCCATTATCTTCAGCACAGCTTCTGATTTAATATATGACCTGAAATACATAACAAAGTCTTAATTTTCTGTGCTTTGATTGTTAGAACATCTTTCAGATGCCTAACTATAATTCATGACTCTCCATAATGACTGGGAAGCTGGAACAGAAGGAAAGAAAACTTGGAATGTTATAGCTTGGATGAAAACTTGGAAAGTTATAAAACTGTTGTTGTATGATTCCTTTTTCCTAAGAGAGCAGAGCATTATGCCTCATTGAGGTGAAAATAAATACAAAAAACTTTTAAAACAGGTGCTTTCCATCTCAACTGGATAAGAGTTCCAAGTTTTGGCTTCTCTGCCTCAGCATTTTACTAGAGCATAAACACTAAGGAACTTGTTCTTATGGATACCCTGGTAATGAAAGTCCAAATTTACTGATGTCCTATGGAATTCTTCTAAATTTATGGGGCATATAGTCATGACGATTCTAAAGATTTCTCATTTCTATGACACTGAGGAAAACTAGTGAGTTGTAATCTGTCACTTCATTTAGGCCACTCATTTTTCATAAATTACACTGCCCCATAATCCTAACACTAGAACCATGTTCAGAGCATACCTATCCTTTTCAACAAGCACAACACTAGAAATATCATCAGGAGCTCGTCCAGATCTTCTTAGTAGTTTCTTACCCCCCTCGCTCTGTAGAGGCTCAAACCTTATTCGCCTGGCAAATAATGACATAGAAAATTAGACACAAAAAGAATCGATTTTGAACAAGAGAAAGATCTTCAAACATCAAAGCAAAAGTCAAGAAATTTAGTAGTCTAGGGATACAGAATCAACAAAACTAAATTAAAAAAAAAAAAAGAATAAAAAAGCAGCTCTAGCCCCACTATTTAAAGACTGGTACAACCTTCCCCATCTAGTACTATGTAGAGATTGTTGATCCAAACAAGCTTATAGAGTAAAATGACCATCTTATTGAAGTCTTTCCAATTCATATTCAAGTAACCACATGGACTTATTGCACTATTTATTTATGCAAGAGCAAGAATGAAATTAACCACATAAAATAGTTCACAAATGCCCAAGTCTTGGTATTTTTATTCTACAAGCCTTGTATGCTCAAAAAAGAATGAAAGATAGATGTAGTTTATTATTATCTTTTTCATCAGCAAATCCAAAAAAAGAGAGATTAAAAAACCTAACCTCTGTCGATCGTTATCCCGAACAAACTTCACACCTCCATTACACAAATTGCATACACCTATTAATAAAATATAAGCGAATGAAGAGAGAGGATGATGTAAGAGAAAAATAAACAGAGGAAAATTGAGCGGTACCGTCAAATAACATGATGGGCCGAGAGTCTTGTTGGAAGAAGCTCGATGTCGCCTCCGCCCAATCCACGGGGTCGCCTCCGCGGGGCGGGGTTGATAGAGCGGCGGAAGTAGTTACACGGCCAGGACGGCGACGTCCAAGTATAACGTGCGCCAACGGTGAAACGTTCAGTTGTCGGCATCCAGCCGGAACGATGAGGGCCGCCATGGTTAGGTGGTTAACTTGGCGTCTACTCTCCACCCGCCAAATTTGCGTGGTGGTTGTTTTTTGTTGAGAAATCCAACGGTAATACTATCTTACCACCCAAAAAAACTTGTCACTGTTATAATTACTTTTTTTAAAAAAAGAAATTAGATTGGTGTAATTTACTAAAAGGGCAAAATTAGAGGGTGCCGCGTGACGGCTCAAATGCATGTGACCTTTCGAGAAAGTTTTTGCACGAGATATGCACATGACATGGAGTTCCCATGTGGTGTGTATAATCATTAAAAGAGTGATAGGGATTAAAAAAATTATTAAATAACTGTAACATGAGTAAAAAATAATTGTACAAGACTAAAATATTATTATTTAATACGTATTCGGAAGGAAAAAGAATATGAAAGACACTTAGTCTACACTTAATCTATTAAACATTTATTGAAAAACAGAGATAAGGATAAATTTGAAAGAAAAAATATTTATTATGTTTTGGTTTCATAAAACGACAAATATTTAGAAACAGAGAAAGTACAATACATATAAGATACTTTAATAATTTTTTTCCCACCGGTTAATTAATCTTTGTCACTAGCTAGCGAACTCCAAAAAATATGTTGACAAGAAATCAAATTTATAGTAGTGTCTATTAAAACTTTTCTACCACTTCATCTTCACACTTATTTTAAAATTTTTTAAAATCTCTCTTTCTCTCTCTCAAACCACTTTCTCCATCTCTATTTCTTTCTTTTGTCTCTATTGAGGACCTAGTTGTGTTTATCTTGGGTTAACTTGCAAAACAATGATGAGGGAAAAGGATGAGAAGTCGATCATCTACGACAACTAGTGAGCAACCAATAACCACCGATCATCCACAACAACCAAAGCACTGACCGATCTACAGGCGCAAGTAACATATCTGAACAGAGATATCTCTCAATATATCATATCCTCTCTCTCTTTCTCTCTCTCTCTCTCTCTCTCTCTCTCTCTCTCGCATCAGAGGTTTAGAATCATTTGGATTTGATGACAACTTCTAGACCCATTAAACCTAACTCGAGAAAGCAAAAATCCCATGGTTTAAAGCATGGTGTGCAAACTCAATTTGGTTGCTACTATTTACATTATTCTGAGGGAAAGGAATAACAAAATTTTTAAAAATGAATTTAGAGATATTGGATCCCAACTAAGGAAAATCATAGTATGAGATGTAAACTTTCGACTATCACCATCAAGAATACTCTAATTAGGAGATCCTCCAAGAATGGCAAGTGCATCAACCAGCCTAATTTGACTTGGGAACTCGATTCTTTAAGGGTGATTTGTAAGACTACTTTGAAGACATTGCACCCCTGCAGATCATAAGCTTCACAAGTTTAAAATTTTGTTCATTACTGTACAATGTATGGCTGAATCATATAGTGTAGTCTCCCCTATTTTGTTGTGGGGAAATCCTATAGGTTTTGTTTCTTGTTTGCTTTGAGGAAACCCTATGGACTTTGCTTTTGTTATTGTAGGAATGCGGAAACATGAATACATAAAATAAGTCATATTTGGTTACGATCTGAACACAACGAATCAGCAGATTTGAATATTGTTTTTACTACTCCTTTCAAACCCCCTTGATAATCATGAACACCTTTAAACATAAACACTTTGACTCGCAATAAGTTNAAAAAAAAAAAAAGAATAAAAAAGCAGCTCTAGCCCCACTATTTAAAGACTGGTACAACCTTCCCCATCTAGTACTATGTAGAGATTGTTGATCCAAACAAGCTTATAGAGTAAAATGACCATCTTATTGAAGTCTTTCCAATTCATATTCAAGTAACCACATGGACTTATTGCACTATTTATTTATGCAAGAGCAAGAATGAAATTAACCACATAAAATAGTTCACAAATGCCCAAGTCTTGGTATTTTTATTCTACAAGCCTTGTATGCTCAAAAAAGAATGAAAGATAGATGTAGTTTATTATTATCTTTTTCATCAGCAAATCCAAAAAAAGAGAGATTAAAAAACCTAACCTCTGTCGATCGTTATCCCGAACAAACTTCACACCTCCATTACACAAATTGCATACACCTATTAATAAAATATAAGCGAATGAAGAGAGAGGATGATGTAAGAGAAAAATAAACAGAGGAAAATTGAGCGGTACCGTCAAATAACATGATGGGCCGAGAGTCTTGTTGGAAGAAGCTCGATGTCGCCTCCGCCCAATCCACGGGGTCGCCTCCGCGGGGCGGGGTTGATAGAGCGGCGGAAGTAGTTACACGGCCAGGACGGCGACGTCCAAGTATAACGTGCGCCAACGGTGAAACGTTCAGTTGTCGGCATCCAGCCGGAACGATGAGGGCCGCCATGGTTAGGTGGTTAACTTGGCGTCTACTCTCCACCCGCCAAATTTGCGTGGTGGTTGTTTTTTGTTGAGAAATCCAACGGTAATACTATCTTACCACCCAAAAAAACTTGTCACTGTTATAATTACTTTTTTTAAAAAAAGAAATTAGATTGGTGTAATTTACTAAAAGGGCAAAATTAGAGGGTGCCGCGTGACGGCTCAAATGCATGTGACCTTTCGAGAAAGTTTTTGCACGAGATATGCACATGACATGGAGTTCCCATGTGGTGTGTATAATCATTAAAAGAGTGATAGGGATTAAAAAAATTATTAAATAACTGTAACATGAGTAAAAAATAATTGTACAAGACTAAAATATTATTATTTAATACGTATTCGGAAGGAAAAAGAATATGAAAGACACTTAGTCTACACTTAATCTATTAAACATTTATTGAAAAACAGAGATAAGGATAAATTTGAAAGAAAAAATATTTATTATGTTTTGGTTTCATAAAACGACAAATATTTAGAAACAGAGAAAGTACAATACATATAAGATACTTTAATAATTTTTTTCCCACCGGTTAATTAATCTTTGTCACTAGCTAGCGAACTCCAAAAAATATGTTGACAAGAAATCAAATTTATAGTAGTGTCTATTAAAACTTTTCTACCACTTCATCTTCACACTTATTTTAAAATTTTTTAAAATCTCTCTTTCTCTCTCTCAAACCACTTTCTCCATCTCTATTTCTTTCTTTTGTCTCTATTGAGGACCTAGTTGTGTTTATCTTGGGTTAACTTGCAAAACAATGATGAGGGAAAAGGATGAGAAGTCGATCATCTACGACAACTAGTGAGCAACCAATAACCACCGATCATCCACAACAACCAAAGCACTGACCGATCTACAGGCGCAAGTAACATATTTGAACAGAGATATCTCTCAATATATCATATCCTCTCTCTCTTTCTCTCTCTCTCTCTCTCTCTCTCTCTCTCTCTCGCATCAGAGGTTTATAATCATTTGGATTTGATGACAACTTCTAGACCCATTAAACCTAACTCGAGAAAGCAAAAATCCCATGGTTTAAAGCATGGTGTGCAAACTCAATTTGGTTGCTACTATTTACATTATTCTGAGGGAAAGGAATAACAAAATTTGTAAAAATGAATTTAGAGATATTGGATCCCAACTAAGGAAAATCATAGTATGAGATGTAAACTTTCGACTATCACCATCAAGAATACTCCAATTAGGAGATCCTCCAAGCATGGCAAGTGCATCAACCAGCCTAATTTGACTTGGGAACTCGATTCTTTAAGGGTGATTTGTAAGAGTACTTTGAAGACATTGCACCCCTGCGGATCATAAGCTTCACAAGTTTAAAATTTTGTTCATTACTGTACAATGTATGGCTGAATCATATAGTGTAGTTTCCCCTATTTTGCTGTGGGGAAATCCTATAGGTTTTGTTTCTTGTTTGCTTTGAGGAAACCCTATGGACTTTGCTTTTGTTATTGTAGGAATGCGGAAACATGAATACATAAAATAAGTCATATTTGGTTACGATCTGAACACAACGAATCAGCAGATTTGAATATTGTTTTTACTACTCCTTTCAAACCCCCTTGATAATCATGAACACCTTTAAACATAAACACTTTGACTCGCAATAAGTTAGGCTACACGAGCCAAATCTAAATTTTCAACATTCTAAAGTCTCACATAAGTCTTGGAAAAATGGAATCCGAAATATAAAGTGAACAACGGGGTGAGATGCAGACTAAGTCGCTCTTTTAAGACGATTTGTGTTTCTTTGTGAAAAAAATACAGTGCAAAAAGTAACAATGCGTTGTTCCCAGAATACAATAACACAACCTATTGATTGTTGCTTTACTTAGATCTGTATAATCGAATGAAGAAGAAGCTTTACAAAATACCTTTGAATATTGCTAGGAAACTTATGTAATAAAAAAAAATATAGTAGATATTCAAATTGTATCTTTTGTATACTGAAATATGTAAATACATATACAAAAAATAAAGGTATGTAATATTTTGTAATTATATCCATGTTTAATTAGATAGTAAGTAATAAAATATAATTGTTGGAAAACTAGTCATTTGTCACGTCCCAAATTTCATAAAAGCGTGATTAAAAAAAATACTTTGTTTATTCTAAAATCACATGCCGGTTTGTTGTAAAAACATCTAGGAAAGTATGTCGTTAGTTTAAATAAATCATTTTTTTTAAATTTCGACAAAATTTTCTTTGAAAATCAGGCATCTAGATTATTGGTGAGAGCTACCTGTGAGAGCATTAAACATAATAATTATACCCGACTAGTCATTCACATCATATCAACCATAAACATCTCTTATGATGACATCCACAAATAAATCACTACTATTCAAAATCAGGGTAACAAATGGAGGCCCACACAGTCTTCCCAAACCCGAGTTATAATCTAATTATCCAAAATTCTTCGTCATGAACATAAAATACAAAATATCTAAAATCTTATAAGTAAACCATTTAAAAAGTCGCAATCTATACATATTCCCTCAAATTAACAAAGATATAAATCACTTACAAATCCTCAATAATATATATCATTATACATTATTTTTTACATACTAACTAAATATATAAAGTCATAACAACTATTTTCTGCCTCGATACGCCCACTATGCAGGCCACCAACATATGTCCACAATTGAAAATGTTAAATGATAGGGGTGAGCAACCAC